AGATCTCTAAGGATTTCCAAAGTTTGGTTCCATCTAGAATGAGGCGACAAACAAAACTTGTGGTTTCATGTAAAGAAGTACTGAAGGTAAATCCATATACATAGTTTACTCTAAGGAACGTGACGAAGATGAAGAAAGTATGGGTTGTTCGTATCATGTTGCTGTACAAGGCGAGAATGGTGTTCTATCTCTAATGGGGGATGATACAGAATTGGAGGATATTTCACCGTGTTTTCACCTATCCTTTAATGATGGGGACCCTCAAGAAGATGAAGATGCGAAAGATGTTCCACCTGAAGACAACAGTTGATGCCTTAAAAGAAGTTAACTTTGGCACTTGTGAAGAACCAAGACCCACGTACCTAAGTGCTTTACTAGAGATGAAGAAAACACTTATATTGAGTTACTCAAGGAGTTCAGGGATGTCTTTACTTGGAGTTACGAAGAGATGCCTTGCTTCGACCTGAAAGTAGCAGTCCATCACCTGGCAGTCAAGAATAGTACTTGCCCTGTTAAACAAGCTCAAAGGCACTTTAGGCCGGACTTGGTTCCCTTGATTGAAATTGAAGACCCATTATTACTTCCCATAAACCTGTAGGGAAGTTCACTTCAAAATGGGATGTGCCATATGTCGTGTAAGAAGCTTATTCAAGTGGGGTTTACAAGCTGGTTGATGCAGATAACATGAGAATCGGCCATATCTATGGCAAGTTTTTGGAGAAGTATTATCCTTGAAGTTACAATGCTCCTTGACGCATGAGCCTAAAGTGCATGTTCCTATACTCTTGGCCCGCAAGAGTATAAACTATGTACGACCCCAAAAAAAGTCCGCCACGTTAAAAACCTCGAAAGAGGCGGCCTAGGCAAAAAGTTAGGACATTAAAAAAATAAGAAAATAATAAAAAAAGAAATCTCACCCATTCTGAACTACGGTATGACTTGATCCTCTTCACCGAGGTTCGTAGGCAACTTAAAGTTTCATTCAAAGTTCAGTCGCATGATGGAATATAATCTACTCGATTGGAACTTAAAAATCGAGCTTACGTGAACTTTGTACCTTATTAAAGATTGGTGGTTCAATGGGGGCAAGCCTCCATAGTAAATTGGTATCTCCGATAGATGGATGTAGGCTTTTAGTAGAAGGCCAAATCTTCAATTTGAAGTCCTCAAGTACGTCTGTCTTCAAGTTGAATTATATAAGCCCTCCAAATCTTCAAGTATGTCACTTTTCAAGTTGAATTTTGCAAGTCTTAAAGCTGAAGTCTGCAATTTTGCTAATTTTTCAAGTTGAGGTTTAAAAGTCCACCGCTCTTAAAGTTGAAACATCAAATTCCACCAAAATTTCAAGTCCATCAAATCTTCAAATTTGTTGGTCTTCAAGTTGAAATCTGCAAAGTCCGCTAAGTCTTCAAGTTGAAGTTTTCTAATTTTTCAATCTTAAGGTGGACATATTAGTCCCTTTACACCCTAATTTTCCAATCTTAAGGTGGACATGTTAGTCCCTTTGCACTTTAAATTGGTCTCTTCGCGGGTTTGTCCTTTAAAGGAACCATAATTTTCAATCTTAAGGTGGGCGTTGAAGCCCCTTTGCACCTTAAGTTGACCTCTTCACGGGTTTGTCCTTAAAAGAAACTATAATTTTCCAATCTTACGGTGGATGTTTAAGTCCCTTTGATCCTTTCCAATCTTATGTTGGCCTCTTCATGGATTTGATCCTTCTATATGTTGTCATAAATTTGATACTTCTATATGTTGCCATGGATTTGATACTTCTATATGTCGTCATGGATTTGTCCTTCCATATATGATGTCATGGATTTGTCCTTCCATATATGATGTCATGGATTTGTCCTTCCAAATACCGTCATGGATTTGTCCTCCCATATGATGTTGAAGATTTGTCCTATTTTTTTACCACGAATTTTTCCTTCTATGTGCGTCTAATCTTGATTACGAAGATATCTCCATTGCCTACAACAATAAAAAAGAAGGCAGCAAAAAAATACAAGTACAAGAAAGATAACTACCTACTAAGGCGCGTCAGAGGTCAAAGTATTGCCTAGAATAATCTGGCATGAATTAGGCCATGATTTTTGGTGAGAACGAATATCTCTGAGTCTAGTTTCTTTAAATTTAGACGATTTTCAATTTCGACATTCCAACATCGAAATACAAAGGTTTTGGTGAAGCCATGATAATCTGAAACTGTTGGTACGTTAGAATGTAGAGCCGATTTCAGAAAATCATCTAAAACGATATCGAAAGTGTTTAATTCTGAATATCGGATATGTTGTAGATATTGAACTCTAGTTCTGATAAATCAAACGGCTTGCGATTCCGAGGTTCCTACATCAAGATACAAAACTTTTGGTGAAGTCGTACAAATCTGAAAATATCAGCATGACAGAAGTTAAGGCTAAATTCAAAAAATCCCTTAGGGTGATCCGCGAAGATTCTAACTCTAAATTTCGTGTATGTTCTACAACTAAAAGTCTAGCTTCTATAGAATGAAACAGACCTTTATTTGGACTTTTCTACAGTAAGATATTAATTTACACCACAAGATATGCTGGCTGTAAAAGGGTGAGGAAAATTGAAAAGAAGAAGAAACTACCTTTGGTGATACTTCACAATCGTCAAAGGCACCGCAAATTAATACTCATGAGTTGAAGAGAGTGCAACCTTATATAGATGATTAAACTCGGCTATTGAGAAGTAAATTTCGATGCGGGACATTGCTATAATTGGTTTTCTACAAGGATTTGGCTAGTAAAGGCTGCAACAGCAATTCGTTTCCAACATGGAAAGGGAATCAAGTATCCATGGCTATCTCGTAGAATCCTTACTAGAGACAAAGACGATTACTTTGCAAAGAATGTAAATTGCCAACCAAGTTCATTTCGAACAGTAAAATCACGTGAATGTAATTTCGAACAATATATAGAATGCAAACTTCAATCATTACAATTTTGCCTTATTCTTGTTCAAGTATGAATTACCATAAGTACTTTTGAGGCAATGTACAAGTTAATTGAGGGAATTATTCGTTGGAAGCATCAATTCGACACCCGTGTTTGGGGCTTCACTGATACTCCTAAGGCCTTGTCGTTAATAGTCAAGTTTATGTTCCGGCAACACTTGAAGTAGGAGATTTGTAAGCATTTAAATTTTATCAAATTTAAATTGATAAAATAATATGGACTATATTTTAAATATATTAGTCAAAATAATTATTTTGGGCTAATATAATTAGATTAATTATATAAGTCCAATAGAATTGGGCTAGCCCATTTAATGGGGCGATAAATGATGAGCCTACTTTTTTAAGCCCAAGATGCAATCTTTCTAGAGGCCCAATTTGGCGCCACATGTCAAATGACGCGGCACGTCAAGTCAAACAGAAAAGCCAATAGGATCACGCCATATGTCAAAATGACAAGGCATGCCAAGTCAAATTAAAAAGGCCAATGAAACCGCGCCACATGTGCAAATGACATGTTCTAGCCAATCAAATGTGGCCTTGTCACTCTTCAATCTGATTGGTCGGAAAGAGTTTATTCTCATCATAACTCTTTCCTCCTACAATTATAAATATGGATCTTCATAACTCAGAAAAGGGATCAGAAGTTACAACAAGAAGATACAAGGGAGCTCGTGGGTCAAAGGCCACAATTCTTTGCAAACTGCAAGTAAGCATTCAACACAAATTTCAACACAAGGCGTTCAAGATCAATGCTACTTGTTCGTGATAAAATTCGTGGCAACAATCAAAGCGTTCGCGACGGCTAAGTCAAATTCAAATTCAAGATCAAGCTCAAATGCCCTTGAATTTATTTTGAAAAAGTAGAATCAGAGGAATTATAGAGATTGTAACACTCAAATTGCTTGAAATCAAATACTACGATTGTTGCAATATTTTCTGTCTCGATTTTTTTTCCTGACGCAAATTTATTGTCTACAGAGTTAATGAAGTTCAAGCAAGGAAGAAATGTTAGAAAAAATCAGAACTTTTATCGAAGTGATCTATCCTCTAAATAATCTTCAAAATAAAACTTATCATGGAAAACTCTGTTTGAGCATTGGAAGGAAAGAATTGGAAGTAGGCACATGACACCAGTAACTTTGTGTTCAATTGGAAAGAACATATATAGCTCAAAATTATCTTAAAATTACTACAACCATATTACGGACCTATTATATATAAGTACTAGACCAGCTACCTGAAACAGGTAATAGTAATAACCATGTTTCGATTATGGTCAATTTTTGTGTACCAATGTTTATTCTACGCAACACTCAAATTGGAAAAACTTGTTCAACGGTTGGACAATAGATTCTGTTTTTCTTAATATCTGAGTTGGAAGATGAAGCTGACCGCTTTTGAACAAATTATATTATGCTTTGCCTCATGAATATATGCAGCTTAGGTCAACGTTTGATAAAATACGCAAAGCATGCGATCAGTATATAAATTAAAAAGGGGACAGCCTCACCTAATTCTTGGATTCTCTTTAATCAATATGACTAATTATCACGTTCATTTTTAGGTTACCAAATACCAAAATCATTTCTTGGACCAAAGCAAATCATAATCGGCTTAGTTAATCCAATAGACCCTCTAGCCCTTGTCCCAATATTTCCCCTTTATCCACCAAGTGAAGTGTCCATTGTCACCATTATTTATATGAACTTCCTTTAAATGTACTGTAGGAATTAACTTATATTCACTGTCAGAGTAATAGACTTTCTACACTATCAATATAACTTAACCTACTATGCTATAGTATGTTACTTGTCTTATTATTCAATTACTAATTCTGTTGTTTATGGATGGATATCCTATAATTAATATTTAAATGACTTGCTAATATAATTTTTTTTAATGTATATATATAAAAGTTCAACTCATTAATATATGATACACACAAACTTATAATTTAACCAAAATCTTCCCTTCAAATTAAAATGTACTGTTGGAAAAGGAATTGTAGAACACTGTAGCCGGAGTAACAAATCATCTATTTTTGTCATGTACTTTGTGTGTATACAAGAAAGCTACGGGACAGAGCTGTTACCATGGCTAAGAAGTGAAGCCATGGAGTACCGAATTTGATCAAAAAATAAACATCAAAATTCATACCTAATTGCACTATATTAATCATTGTCTCTCAAGATCAATATTTATACCATCTTCTTCACCACAAGATTGAACAGCTTGAAATCGTCTTGATGATATTTCCCTGCTAAGCATTCTCCTAAACGAGCTTAATCTCGAACTTGGTCCACTAATTTTAGCTAATGATGATGATGAAGGCTGTGTTAATCCGCAATCTGAACTCACTTCAATATTTATTGAATCACCACCCTCGAGCGACGGCGCCGAGGGCGGAGTGCGGCCTACAATGCCCTCTCGGGGCTCCGGAACTAACCGGGGCTCCGCCTCAGTCCGGCAAATTGGACACGTTGATTGAGAAACCAACCATTTATCAATGCACTCTGCATGAAAAACGTGTTTGCAATTAGGCAAAGTCCTAGCCGTTTCGCCATCTTCAAAAACGCTCAAACAAATCGTGCACTCAACAGAATTATTTTCTTTAGCACCATCGGCAAGATTATTCTGCTTGAAAGTAAATATAGGAAGCGAAGCTATAGCGGACGGTTGGAGTCCTTGTTTGGGTGGCTCGATTTGGGCGGCGCTTAATTGTTGAAGCGCCGCCCTCTGTCGAGCTTGGCGTCTAAGCACACACCGTGCGTATATATGAAGGAGGCTAACGAAGAAAATAACTATAGATAATGAAATAATGGCTGTTAACATGATCTTGCTGTTAAGATCATATTTCTTTGTTCTGTGGTGATCAAAAAACGGGTGATCATTATCGTCAAAGCCCATGATGTTGTTTGCTGTGAGGAGAGTAGAAGGGGTGGCTGTTACAATATTATAGGAGTGGTTCTATGTTTGGTTAAGACAAATTCAAGAACCAGATTTTTAAAAGATGGTCTTGGTTTGGTAATAACAATGAAAGAAAACAACAAACCATGTGAGTATGTATACGAAGAAAGTATATATTTTCAATGGGATTGACTTGTTGATTCTTTTTGGAAGAAATCCTGCAAACTAAAAAGAGAAAGGGGTATGAGATTTTTTCATTCAACTCATAAATTGTGAATCTTAACTACAAGAAATAGTTAGCACCTCTATTTATAATATTGTAAATCCCACTTTGAGTAGAACTAGAAAACCTATTTCCATATGAGTTTTGCTAAAAATCCTATATAGACATAAATAAATTAAAGAAACTATCAAATATAAAATCCTAATAATTTAGATTTTTTATTCTTATTTAATTTAGAAATTAATAAATATCAAATCCTAAATAATTTAGGTTTTCCACTCTTGGTTTGAAACTTATTTTATTTAATTATTTAATAACGATGGTGTCGGATTGGGTTTTCTAGTTAGGGTCCCATTGTCCAAATGTTTTTTTTTTTTTTTTTTTTTTTTTTTTTTTT